ACCTCAGCTGTGAAAGCACTTTGCCGCTCATTCCGGCCTTGACCGCGTGTGACTGTTCCTTTGACGCAAGTAGCCGCAGCCACCACCGCGACTTTGACGAAGATAATCGGCAGGACGACTGGACAACAACGCCTGCGACTGCCAAGCCTAGCGGGCCTAGGCCTAGCGGTCTTGACCCAAAGCTTGTTGGTGTCCCAATCTTGCCGCTGGGGCTCTCAGGGTCGAAATTCTTGATCCAGGCCCTTAGGATCGTGGACTCTGCCTCTGCACACACGGAAGGGCTGTAATCAGAAGCATTCGATTGGCATGCAGCTCAGTTCAGGAATGCATGCTTCCCCTACAAAAAACAAGCCCGAAGGGATCATCACGTCTTCACTTTTGGGCTGAAACTGCTCACGAGCACGAGGGCCTTTGCGGGAAGCCCAAACTGCTCCACTGTTCTCAGTCCGCGTGACGCTTCGAAGAGAATGAAGCGTGGTGCAAGCCGCTAGAATCAGTCAACCGAACCGTCATCAACCCTTGAACAAGCGGTCACCTATAAAAAACTGTTCGTGTTCGTGGTGAGCAACCACAGAAGGCATCCCAAACACACAACTGTTTGAACAACTTAGGACCCGGCACCTCTACGAACAGTTGAACAGTTGCGACTCATAAGCACACCACCAAGACCTTCCTTCAAGTCTCTTCCAGTCGGGAACAGGCCTCTGTCAGGAAGCTGCGAACAACCTAAGCTATGATCAACCCTCAGGACATTATGTATGTGTATGGCATGGATGCACATGCGTCGGCATATTAAATATGATGTATATATATATATACACACACACACACACTCGACCCCTCTCCCTCTCTCTCTCTCTCTCTATTTACATACACGCATCCGTGCTTACATGCATGCATATATATATATATATGTGTGTGTACAAACATATGTATGTATGTATGTATGCATGTATGTATGCACGCAAGCACGCACGCATGCATGGATGGATGGATGGATGTATGTATGTATGTACGTATGTATGCATGTATGTACGTACTTATGCATGCATGTCTGCATAATTGTGCCTGGGGATAGAGATTTCATTATACACATGATACGGAAATAGTGTCGGTATTTTTCAGCACCAATAGCACCTGGACTTTGATTAGTGTCGGGGCATTTCAGGGCTCTTGGATCGACCCGTGGCATCTCTTGTAGGATGGCCCCAAGGGTCCAAAGCCCTGTAGTCACAGACATCTCGAGCAGTTTAGGGCAGGAGCGGATTGGGGGGAGGTCCATCAGAGCTAAGGTTGCTACGATAACATTCGAAAAAAAACACCCGTGCGGCGTTGGCTTTCGCATGTTTTGGGTTTGGGGCTTGTAGGGCATTCATTGTAGGGTTTAGGGCTTAACCTGCTTGTGTCTTTTGGAGGACTGGGGTTAACATGCGATTCTCGATAATGTATTTTGGGTAGGGTACCAAGTGACATGCAAACTACCAGAAACCACAACAACTAGCTCGCGGTCACGTGTCGGGGGAAACTGTGGCAAGGAAATCACACCAAGGCCACCAACCTCAAGAAGAATCCGCGGATTCCAGCAAGCTCGATGATGCCCTATAGAGTGCCCACAGTCTCCAAGAAGCCATCTGGGGTGGTGGCCCCTTTCGAGGGGAGCGGTTTGAGAAGCGCCGCGCCGCCGGCACACTCGGCCTGAACCGAGCGACAAGTGTTTTGGTCTATAGAGTCTACACGGCTCAGTAATGTAATGAAGTATTTGCTGAATGTGTCAACTGCCAGCTTATCCCGAAACATGTTTCGAGCAAAGGAGTTCAGAGGTTGATATGCCTCATGCATGCAGTGCCTTTTACATTTTGGGCAGGGCGTAGGATCAGGCAGGGACGAGTGCTTCACACCTTCGGCTTCTATTCTATAACTCTGTGTTTACCATGCTCGAGTCGTGCTCCTCTGTACAGCGAACTTGAGCAGCTAGCCGGGCGGCAGACCGTGCTGCATCTGCTACACACTTGCCCACAGCATCGGTAGGCGCATATCGAGAATCGTCACCCGCACCGTGCTGTAATCATAGATGGTGTCAGTGCTACAAATACACCTTACAGGAAACGATTCTTCCAGAGGACATCAGTTGGGTTCGTAGCAATACAAGCTGAGGCGTTGAGTGATCACTGCGCTTTCGCCCCATGCAAGCGCTTGTTCTCCTGGCCCTACACCTGAAAGGTGCAGATTGCCTGCGACCCATGCTTGCCATGGCGTCCCGCACATGGACCCGGCGGAATGGCCAGGAGATGAAAGCTTCGAAGTTGTACTGTACTGGTTAGAGGGTAGGGCTGATTGTTGGGTTTTTTGGGAAGTCGCTGAGCTGAGTGAAGGTAAACTTGGGTCCGGCCACACATGGGGACGGGAGATTGCAGTCTTGTGGCTACACCAGCCCATCCAAAGGAAACCAAAGTCCTCAATAGTGTCAAGATACTGCGAGTCCACAACCTTCAGAGCTGTTGTGAGCTAGGGCAATAGCGTTTAGGGTTCCTGTACACAGGGACACAAGAGATGAAACAGCAGCGCAACGACGGACAGATTTGTGTAACAAAAGGCTCAACTATTGCGCACCCAAAAGCCTCTCGCACGAAAAGCTCATCTCACTGTCAGTGTGCCAAGTACGTGAAAAAAGGCAAAGCTGCTATAGGCCCAGGCTTGATACACAAGGACGTCTCAGGTGCGCAACGGCTAGTTTCGACAAGCTGTTGCACAAACAGCATCCAAGAGTCGTAGAGCCGGGTGACCTCAGCAAGAGGTCGCTTGCCCACCCCAAAACTAGACTTTCCTTTGCATTACGGCTGCAATGATCAACAATCTTATCTACATGCATATTTAAAAGCATAATGTATGTGTATAAAGTTAATAAATAAATAAGTATAAATATGTATATATATATATACACACATACATACATATTTATATCTATCTTTGTACTTCTATTTCTATTTCTATTTATATTTATACTTATGTTTGTATATTTGTATTTATATGCATATATATATAGAGAGAGAGAGAGATAGAGATGTAACCAGCAACAGCAAACAAGCACCGAACAAGTACTGACACGGTATACTTTATGTCGTGTCATGTCAAGTCATGTCACGATGACAGTATGTCAGCGTATGCATGTCTGTATACTACAAACAAACAACTATATACACTCTGCTTTAGACATTAGACGCACACAAACACACACACACATACACGTACATGCATACATATGTACATATGTACATACATACATACATACATACATACATACATACATACACACATACATACATACATACATACATACATACATACATACATACATACACGTGTATGTGTACATAAGTGTAAATGAACAAATAAATAATACTCGCTCTATATGCATGTATGTATATACATATATATATATATAGATAGATTTATATATCCATCGATCCATCGATCTGTACATGTGTGAGCGTCTGATCTGTCAGACCTGTGGTCAAGGGTGTTGAGTGGAGCACGGGGAGACCCGGGGCCCATTACCGATAGCGCCCAACGTCCTGAACTGAGAGTGCCCCAAATGTGCTGGCTTTTGTCTAGCAGCCTGCGCGTCCCTTGAGAATTGAATCGACTTCAACAGGTTTCCCCTGGCAACTGGGCTCAGTGCCGCCCCGCAAACGCGCTCTGCCAGATCGACAGCCTCCAGGGAGACGCAAGCAGGCAATCAGATCCCAATCGTCTAGTAGAGGGAACTAAAGGAGTAGGACTATGTGCTTGCAGCCCCTCTGCGCACATATATATATTTTTTTTCTTTTTTGAGTATACATCTGTGTATATATCTATATATGTACAGATATAGATATAGATATAAACTATTGTAACGCAGTACCCAAAACCCTATATTGAATGAAGGCTCCAATATTCACTAACCTCTGACACGGACTCGGATCCCTACGTACTTCAAAGACCGCCCCCTTGCTGCCCCCCACGTGCACCCCACTCAACCAAAAAGGTCACTAGTTTTCAGATACCTATAAACCTGCATCGGGGCATGCAAACCAAATCTTGGCAAGCGCACAAGAGTGCGCGGAATCCACACCGTGGCCCATGTATAACCCGTACATGGTCATACATGTGTACATGCAGATATGTGCATGCGTGTCGGCGCAAAGAGTTTGTACATGGTGTGCGCTATGGCACTGCTATGGCACGAAATAAGTACCACGACGCATTTCCGCGCACTAACCTCCACCTCACCTTAAACGCTCATGCTCCACGAGAGAAGCCAAGAAGTCGTGATTGGAACTTGGAAGATCTGGGCTTCCATAATCTCGGCCTCTCGTTCGGCCGTAGCTTGGGCCAGGCCTGAGCGAAGGAGAGTTTCGAAGGCAACGGGGCGAGTGGGAGAAGATTTTTAAGAAAGGTCTGCAGCTATCGACCACACTCCCGCCTTCCGAGACTGAGAGAGTAGATGCGAATCTGCATCCTTTGCAGTGCATGTCGTGTGCGGCCGAGCATCCCTGAAGCTTTGAAATGAGAAGATGAAGGTCGGAGAGAGTGCCGCGGAACCTGGGAAAGTGTTGCATGGGCATTGTCGGATGCTTATCTCCAGATGCTCGTAAAGGCTTCGAAGACGGAGCTCCTGCAAATACGTGGTGAAGAACCACTGCCGTACCACAAGTGTGAGGCAACCGTGTCCCTTCTTCAACGGCTGCGTGGTCAGTGCTCATGAAACAGAAACACAAATTGACAAAGATCCACGGCCCCATCATGGCCAAGAGGCGTGGCCGCATCCCGGGCAGCCTGTGGAATGTTATGGGCTTCGTCAATGACGACGATGGCATCCTGGCAGAAACCATGCGCCGTAGGAATGTCCACGACTAGGAAAGCGGCGAGCCTGTGCTATTCGTGCTTATCCCGGAACGTCTGTGACAGGAGGAGATCATGTCAAAACGGGCTTCAAGTCGACAGGAAGCACAAAAAGGCTCCTGAAGTACGGCGCTGAAGCTGCTGGTCTCCCGCACACAGGGATCCTAAGCTGCCAGGAGCGTGTCTTGTAGTGGACGCGCCCTCCATCTGCCGAAAATGCTGCGATTGAAACCTCGATGATCCATGCTGATGGGCGTGGAATCAGACAAGAACAGAACCTAGGCCCTCCCTTTCTGGGGCGACCCAAAGAACGGGGAATCTCGCCCCTCCTCCCAGCAAGAAGAGCAAACCCTTATGCTAGACTCGAGTTGCAAAGCCTGCAACAGCAAGTCTCAACCGACCACTGTACAGTCTGATGCACACAAGTCTCAATCAGTCCCCCTCCATGATCCCATCATGGCACAGGACTCAATCAAATATCCTTGACTTTAAAAGCAAAGTTCGAAACTACTGCCGAAGATCCTCTCGCATCCATACCTCTAATAATGTTCCTGACATTCACACGGATCGTGACAAGGGCAACGAGTGAGTGATCTCTCTGCTTCTTTCCCTCCCTTAACCCTAAACCCTGCCGGGTAGCTAAAAGCTGCGGATATGTTGCAAGGACAAGGCCCGCTCCCTCGGCCGTCCTCGGCCAGCTCTTGGTTGGAGTCGGGGGAACTCTGGGAGATTTGAAAAGGGTGTTAGTCTCAGGGGTCTCAGGCCCGCAAGCGCTAGATTCCTCTCTTTGCCTGTGCAGGAACATGAAATTCCTGCTCAAGCTGCTGCTAGTTGAGATCGTTTCTGCTGCCTGACGAACTGCAGGAAGCCAGAGCAGAACATATGCCTCTTTGCTGGCACTCTGCAGGTCCAAAGCGGCATGGTACGGGCAGGTGTGGGTCTCGTGGCCGTCCTTCATGCGGCAAGTGGCAGACATGTGCAGGAAGACTCTGGTAAACGCGGGAAGATGCCAGACCAGTATCAAATGCTCCCTGGCACCATGGGACCGTTGTCACGGAGGCACTACTATCTAGCACGAAATCTCTGTCCGGCGGCATCGTTCCTGTCTCTGCGAAGAAGAGAGACACTGGCTCCGACATATTGGGAAATGCCCTCAACTTCGCGCACGAACATAAGGAGTATATACAACTAGCCGATCAGCTCCAACTGTCGGCGTCTCTCCCCGATGACAAGCCTGCCTTGACTAGGTCCTCGATGTCGTAGACCGCTAGCCTGAGCCAAATGGGGCACGCCATGACTATAAACACCAGTAATCCTCAGTGCGTGCTCGTCCTATCAGAGCTCATTGGCCGAGCAGCTGCCCTCCTGCCTCGAATTTCGACCGATGCTCTTTGATCGTCGGGTAACCGATTGCTTCCTCAGCAATATCCGGCATCAGCCGTCGTGTATAGACTCGACATCTTAACACGTGATTCTCACGCTGAAAGTAGACGTGTGGGGCCAGAAGCTAAAGCATCAGGTTCACCTGCTGTTCAAAACGATGCGTGTTGTCATGTTGACCGGTCGGTCCAGCACAGGTGCTGCTCGCTCGGGGTAACATCAACTCATTATCCAACATCGTACTTATCATGCTGGTCCTGGTCCTTCACACCACCCTAGCCCTCATCATCATCATCATCATCGTCATCATCATCATCATCACCATCATCACTATCACCATCACCAGGGTCATGATCATCATCATCACCATCATCTTCAACATCACCATCAACGTCATCATCAATGTCGCCATCGTGGTCGCCACAACCGCAAGAGCACCAAAGTGAAGCCTGGTCTCGGCATTGTCCAAATGCTCACATCCAGAAATGCCTCCTCCCAAGGCGCTGCCATTTCGAGTCCTGAGCAACTGTGTGGGACAAGTCGATGTTCACAGCCACCGTGCCAGGAGAGTTAAGTTACGAGCCGCATACACTGACTAGCTATGTGTAAGCAGGCAAGCAAGCAGGCAGGTAGGCAGGCAAGCGAGCAAGCAAGCAGGCAAGCAGCCAAGCAAGCCAGCACTATGTCTGTATGTAGGTAAGTATGTGTGCATCCGTGAAAGTGCTGATACTAGTAAACGCGGAAATGACAGACGTAACTCGCTTCCTTAGAACTACAAGCCATTCAGCATGCAATATGCTCTGCAGTTGCAGGCTTGCATACCGCATTAGCAGATTTTGGAGAGAACTTACAGGCTCCCAGAAGAAACATGTCCACACCACGTAGACGTCGTTTCAGCATCGACTCTCCTCGCGTATGTGACTGTGCGAGGACATGCAAACTCCAACGGCCCTCGCAACTGAAGGACTGGGCAAATTTAGATGAAGAGCATGGTCGCCATCTCGCATGCCGTCGACTTGTCTTGCGCCTAGGCTTCTCCAGGGCGAATTACGTTGTCGTGTTCTAGAGCTTGATATGACAGCCTACACGACCCTGCAGCACTCGCACCCACCAAACTGAGCTGCGGAGTGATCGGAACCCTAGCACGCAATTAGAAGTCAGCTACATATCAAGACCTAAAGTTGTCAGAAATTGCTGCTCGGGCACTGCCTGCACGAACGGGTGCAAGCAAAACCGCTCTCGAGAGATTCCTGAGTATTGAGGGCGACATGTCTGGCGTCTTTTACCATGCAACTACATGCAGAGGAGGACCCAACCCGTTGAGTGGGATCCTGTGGGAACTAGCGACGGTAGTGCCTGCTTGTACACGGCATGGACGACCGCGAACCAGCGTAAATGCTCTTAATATCTCGCAATCCTACCAGCGAAGTCCTTGAGAACGCAGTGAGTTTCAGTCGGTATATTGATGTTAGCACCCAGCTAGAAAGACCACCTTGTCTCATGGCTTATTGGACATCAGCCGCGGTCTCACCAGCGCCAGCTGAGATGCGTAATGCTTCAAGCGGACGGTAGGGAACTCTCCTGGAGATGTGGACGCTAGATTACCGGCTGGATATTACATCCCATAAACACATCCTGCTGCAACACCAATTCAAGTCTGGACGTTCCAATTCAATCAATCTATGTCTCTCCTAATGAGGTAATCAGGATCCAAGTCCCAACCGAATGTGTGACACGAATAATGTTGGAGGTCTTTGCCACGTCAGCATCACGGGAAAGCCGGAGATCCTCAACTCTGCAACGGCATGCTGCAGCCTGGGTCGAAGTCACGACAAAGCCGTGGAAAATAGGGCTGAGATGCTTACCATGTCTTCTATACAGGCATCAGCAACATCACATGCCAACATCGCCACCACCACCACCACCACCACCACCACCACTACTGCCGCTACTTACTGCTGCTGCTGCTGCTGCTGCTGCTGCTGCACTACTACTACTACTACTACTACTACCACTACTACTACTACTACTAATAATAATAATAGTAGTACTGACGACTACTACTGCAGCTACTACTACCACCACGACGACTCCGACGACGACTAGTAGTACTAGTACTAGTACTACGGTGGATGGAGGAAAT